AAGCAGAAATAACCATGTTAATTTAATCACTATGAAAGGGACTCTGCCAAGTTGAGAAACATAAATTTTAATTATATGCACACACACATATTTGAATTATAGTATCTGCACAACATTTAGCTGTGACACTAATATGTGGCTTATTAAAATAGGAAGAATTTTTAAATATCTTTTTATTTTTCATTGATGATTTTTGATGATTTGACACTTCCATGTTGTATGGCTCTGACTGTTTCCTGAATCTCCTATGCTAACCAGGTGCTACTGCATTTGCAATACTAATAAAAGAGAAGTTTATCTACAAACCTTCTTAAAATTTTTATATGAAAGAGTAAACTTGTAGTTACAGTGTTTTTACTAGTAGTTATTACTTGTAATAAAAATTACGTTCTCTGAAATTGCAATATCTGAAGAAGAGCTTGTGGTACAAACTAGGAGCTACAATAGAAAGAGTTTAGAACAATTAGTGGATAGCAAATGTTATTACCTATATTTAAAAAGGATTTGGATGTGATTCAAGGATTTAAAGACCCATAAATTCTACATGAACATGTGAGAAATTGATTGAAACAGTAATTAGGTATAAGCAGTAAAGCACCTGGGAAATGATGATATAGGAGATTCTAACTGACTGTTGTGTCTGGTTTTTTTTTTATCCAAGGAAAAGCATATCTCACTACTTTCTTAAAATTCTTTACATGATACATAAAGGACTAATAGATAAGGGGGATGACAAGTTACTTGCACTCTCTGAAGACCTTTAGTATGTAATAGGCCTCCAAAGAGAAACAAAGCATTGTCTTGGATCAAAACTTTTAGAACAAAAGATGAAACAAAGAAAAAAATGAAACACAAAACTCTCATTATAGAAAAACGCTAACGGCTGGTGCATCAAGGTTTGGTGTTTGGTCCAGCGTTGTGTAATATAGTAATGAACAAACTGGAGAAAGGGAGTACCTTGTAAACTACAAAGATTTGCATATAGTACAAAGTTATTTAGAGCCATCGTGGCCGGGGAGGTCTGTGTGGGCCTCCTGGGGGGGATCCGAGTGTGTGTGGTGAATGGGCGGCAGGATGGGCATTTTCATTTGTCACCTGCGTGTTGAAAGTATTACTTACGGGAAGTTCATGTCCCTGTTACAAGGTTTCTAATTCTGCTTAGTATGCAGCTTGGACACTGCAGGACACTGCCTGAGGGGTAATATAAAGAATATTGTAATGCATTTGTTGAAATGAGGGATGTGGCTTCATCTGAAAATACCAGGTGCAGTATTGGTCCATCTTGGGAAGATTATTGAAGAATAAGAGGAAGTTCAGAGAGGTCTGATGGGACAAAGCTATATGGAAAGCTTCCCACAGCAGAGGAATAGAAAAGATTGTTTATCCTCGAAAGGAGAGGAATAAAAAGAAATGGCAAAAAAGTTTGGTCAGGAACTTCTATTTTCCCCGTCTCATAGCAGGAACAAGGGGGTGAGCAATAAAGTGAAGCACTCCTTCTTTCAAACCATACTTTAAGTTGAACTCACTCAGGTGGGGAAACATCGAGGGCGAAAGTGTATCAAAATTCAGAAAAGCATGGGCTATTCTGTGCATTCCTGAAACAGCCAGATTTAGGATCACTGGAAGTGATACTGCATTTATCCTCAGGACTGACCTGTTAAGAGATCAGGATGAAATGTACTTTTAGGGTAGATTATTTTCTTTGCATTTTTCTCCTGACAGACACTCATACCTTCTTCTGCAGCATCTGAGGTGACTGCATAGTATAGCACAACAAATACCAAAGCAAACAGAGGCAAGTATGGGGTCACGGCTTAATTTCCCAAGACTCTAAGAAGTCCTAGTCTAAGGCCTAGAAGACTCTCTCTGGCCTTGTTTGAAGCTTCTGACATTGGCTGGCAGGACAGTGGGTGGAACGGCCCCCGCCTTGGTTCCATACAGTGGTCCCCATGGTCTGGGGGAAGCCTTGATCTTTCACATGAAAACTACATTTCAGGCATTGTTGGCTTCTCAGTTTTCTTTAAGGTACAGGCATAAGAGAAAAATATGCTTTTCTAGCTTTTGTGGGGAGAATCCTGGAGAGTTAAATAGGAAAGAGAAAAAATTTACGGATTTTAGTGAAATGAATTCATGATTACTAGTAGTGTTTAACTGTTTCGTTAGGTTAACTGAACTGTCATTTACATTTTTGGACACTTTTGTCTCTGAAGATTCAAAAAGTGGTTTGGAAACCTAATTTCCTCTCTTCGTTACTGTATCCTTTACAGAGAAGCCATCTTCCAGGAAGGGCCAAATTCATTACAAAGATAGAATTCCTTAGTAAGAGGTTGTCTTTGAGCCTTTGTAGGTTTTTACACTGTAAACTTTACATTCCAGATAAGATCGCATCTGCTGTTTGCCACTTTCTAGAGCTACTTAGGAATGAAAATGAACTCCTAGAAGCCACCGGTGGAGAAGAAAATGAAGGAGTTGAATAGCAGTAAGCTTAGAGGGCAGATGGGAGGCAGCTGCCCTGAGTTTCTTTTCACTGGGTTCCCTGCTCACTAACTTAACTTCTTGGTGGCTCAATCTCCCCATCAGTAAACTGGGAATAAAAGTATTACCTCACACTGCTTTGTCAGTGAGATGTTAAATTTAATAATTAAAAAATGTTCCGAGAATTTTGGACGAAAAGTCTCCTGGAGTGTTGCTGGTGGGAAGTAGCAGCATCACACAAAACAAACATGCCTATTAAAGACAGTAGCTGGATTTTGACCTTAAATCCTACCTTTCCCTCTGACTTAATGTTCAATATCTGTGGAACAAACAGGAAGTAGCTTTACTTTCGTATACGTTTTACTTATCCCTCACCCCTTACTTGCTCATTCTCTTTTTCTAATGCATCTGTTTGCTTAGTGTATTGATATCCAGAGACAGGCATAGCTTGTCACAGTGAAAACGTTTGTTTCTGATGCCCTTGAGGTTGCTCGAAGCTTCTTCTGTTGCTGAAAGTATAATAACCCTCTGGGTTTTGCAGTCCCACAAGGTTCTATATACAAAGCAAATGCCCTTTTGCACCTAAGCACAGGACTTTGAAACCAAGCCAAGCTCACAGCCAGAGATGGTTAGGGAGGTTCCTTAGTGACTTCAGATTCAACTGCTGGGATTTGCACATAAATCAAGTCTAAAATCCTTTCTTTTTATTGAAATGTCTGGATTTAACATCCAGAGGGAGGTACTAGGAGTTCATATAGGGAAATTCAATCTGTATGATTCTTTATTGACTTCTCTGTCTTTTTTATAGCTCAAGTAAGGGAGAAGTTGGGGAAGGTGGCATAATTGGGGTGTGTGCAGAGCTTAACGCCAAAACCAGAGGCCTGATTGAATAGACCTCCTTGTGATGGGAAGGGGGATCAATTCACTGTTGACCCCATCCCATTGTGTGAGTTGTCCTGGGAGTTTCCTTTGAAAATCCCAGTGGTTTGGGTTTTCTGCATGGTTTGTACTCAGCCTTTCCCTCCATGAATAGAATAGCTTTTGCTGGAATTTTTGCTGGATTTTCTGTGGTTATTGGCTGAGCAATGCTCTCTCACTTCAGAAGACTTGAGCAAGCGTGTTGTGGAAGCACTGATCAGGGACCCCGAATCATTTGCTGGCTTAGAGTTTTTCATATACAGAACAAACATATTCCTGGGACACAATTGCCCCCAAGAAACAAATAATACTTTACTGTCCCAGGTGGAAGTGTTCATTCATTATTTGGATTGCAGGAGTGATTTGGGGCTTTGTAAACACATGAATTTCTGCCCTGCAAAGTTTACAACTCATGGTGATAGAAAGGCAGGGATATTCAGGCAGACCGGGGAACACAACAGAGTCCTAAAAGGTGAGAAGTGGACAAAGCAATGAAATAAGGACACCAGATGCTGATTCATGAGCATCGGTCCTGTACATTATTACTTTACAAATCTGTTGGCCTAGAGGAAGGAATTCATTTTAGAAGGGGAAGAGTACTTAAGAAATCCACACTTTGGCATTGTCAGGTAAAGAGGTGTTCAGGATGTCTCCCTGCCGTAGGGTTGGTCTGTATGAACTCCTGCACGAGTGGTGCAGAGGCCAGGATCTGCAAGGAAAGAGGAATTCTTCCCTAGGTGTGTTTTAACATCTTTCTAAATTTAATATGCCGTATTTGCCTGTCTGCTGCACAGCCTCATACTCTAGTGGCAGCATTGGGAAGAGGAATAAGACTCTGTTCCATCACTTGTACGGCAAGTTACATCAAGCTTCCTCATAAACCTGCGCTGTCTCCTGGAGTCCTATGCCCCAGGCCTGCCCTGAGCCAGCCTTTGGCTTCTCCTACAGTGCCTGGGGGTCACCCCGTTTTGTGGGCTGGATTCTACACTCACAGCTGTGCTGACTGGTGTTTCTTCATTGGTATAAGCCTATTTAAAACAAACTGAAGATTTTATCTAGAAATGAAAATTCAAGACACATCCCTTGGTTTTCTCAGTTTTAGTTCTCAGCATTGGCCTCACACACTACCTTTCTGCTTCCCCACATGTGGGACATGTCCTGGTGTGGGAGAATGCTACTTGTAGCTGTGCTGTGTAAACTGTGCCAGACGCTGAATTGCATTAAACTACTTTTCTACTTCAGCAGATCAGGTCTTCATATTTGTTATTTCAGTATCGTAGAAAGCCCTGGTTTTGTTCTTTATTTGAAACACAGGGAGTTTACATAAAGGAGAAGGACTTTTTCCCCATTTATTTTGTCCCGATACAATATGTCCAGCCTTTTTTTCCTTTAAGCAAACACAGCGATTGAAAAGATGCCAGGTTTTCAGTAAGATAGAAGTGAGCCCTGTATGATGATCCTTACCAGTTAAAAGAAGATGTTGACAAACTCTCCTTCAAGATAGAAAAAAGCTTGAAAGTCTGTCAGTCTGCTGCTTGTCATCTCTGTCTTTCTGCTTGTTAGCTGTCTAGGGGAGACACATACAGTTAGTGTGTTTTGTTTTTCAGAAGTTGATCTGCCTCTGAAGAAAGATGGGTTCACATCAGAAAGTACAACTCTGGAAGCCTTGCTGCGTGGAGAGGGAATCGAGAAAAAAACGGACACTAAAGAGGAAGACACTATACAAGAAATCCAGGTAAAGGAGAGCCCCATGCCCTGACAGCAGGGCTGGGTTTTACAATTTGTCTCTAAGCCCAGCAGATTTTGTCCTGTGGCAGAACAGTGCATCTGTTGATAGTTATGTCATTCTGCTGTCAAAATGTTATCAAACCATTGTGTTACACTGGGATGCTCAAAATGAACTCGGGATCTCGCACACTTCTGTCACAAGAATCTCGGTCATTTGGCTGTGTTCTGCACAACTCCTGTGTTAGAATTTGTTTTGCAGCCCTATGAGATGATTACATATAAAACTGACAAGCAGAGATGGGTCCCAACCATAAACAGAATTTTAGTGCTTCAGATTTAAAGTGAATTTGGACATGGATTTGATGTTGGATTCACAGCTGCTGACTGTAGACAAAAATGTATTATTGCCTTGTCTTTTTTTTCTTCTACTGAGAAGCCTTCAGAAAGTACACAAGCAAAATAAATCCTTAAAATTATTCAAATGTTAATTATCTCACTTATTATTAATGATGCAAGTATGAGAAACATTTGCCTCTTTACACACCTTATGACTTGAAAGTTATTTGTCAAGATTCCGTTTCATCCTTTAACAATTCAAAGTAGAGATGCATTTGTGGGTCTGTCATAGAAGGAATTCAGCTAATGTAAAGGGTTCTTATATAAGGGCATGTCGCTTTATAAAGACATCTTAAATCGCTAGGAAAGTGGGCCTCTCCTTAGGGAGTAGCAGTAAATCTTTGGTGATGCTAAACCAGCGTTGTGCTGTGAGTCTCTGTTAGGGATTTTTAGCAGGAGCCACTGGAAATGTGTTAAACTTGGTAATTTTGGCTGAGATACAAGATGATGCATCTATACCTGAAACTGGTAAAAATTTGAGTGGGCAGCCCCATGCCAAATGAAACAGAAGAGCGTGGGCATCAAATCTATGTTACCTGGAGCTCAGTCCTACTGGTCCGTTTGCTAGAAATTGCACATATGTCAGGGCAGCAAAATTAGGTCTCTCATTCCCAGTTCCACAGGTAAAGGGGCGCCATCGAAGAGGAAGCATCCCATGCTCATGGAGTGGGGAGAAGCTCGGCATGAGGCCCCCTCTGTATTTCCTTCTTCAACAGCGTACCTGGTTCTCTTAAGCTGAGAGCCCTAAAGCTCTGTTTATGCCTGCTTCCAAGGTCAGACGAAGTCATGGTGCAGCATCCTTATGAGATTGACAGATGCCTTTGGATGTTGCTGTACAATCTGAGCTCCCAAATTATTCCCAGCAGCAGTCCAAGGAAAGAGACTTTAGAGATGGTGGAACTGACACAAGTCTGAGCACTGCAGAGCAGGGAGGGGGT